TTGTTGTTGTTAAGTGCCGTCAAGTCAGTTCCAACTCATAGTGACCCTATGTACAAAAGAATGAGACACTGCCCAGTCCTGCGCCATCCTCACAATAGTTATTATGCTTGAGCCTTAAGGTTCACATTATTATTTTCTTTTGTCTTAAAAGGGTTTTCACTTGGTTGGGAGGGGTCTTTTCAAAACTTTTTCTGGAGCGGTGTGGGTCTCAGAGGCTCATTATCAATTCATTTAAATATGTTTAAGTTGGCCTAGGTATTTTGAAAGACAAGAGATAACTAAATTATTTACCTTCTAATTTTTATTATTTTCTTGGTAAGTAGTTTAGCATTCTTTCTTCTCATTAGTAAAAATTGCTCCCTCTCCTTAAGTAAAACACTTTTTATATAATACCTAGCTTAAATTACTTTAAAAGGTTTTGCTTTTAAGATTTTGCTTTCAAGGTTAACATAAACATAAAAACCTTTGTCAGAATGAATTTATTTTCATTAATTCCTGGGAATGTTAGAACTATTTAATTTATATAAGTGCTTATTCATCATTACATCAATCAGTAAGTTTTTTGAAGAAATATTATAATGTAATTTAATAATATTATCCAGAGGTAGGAAACCCTGGTGGCGAAGTGGTTAAGAGCCATGGCTGCTAACCAGAAGGTCGGCAGTTGGAATCCACCAGGCGCTCCTTGGAAGCCGTGTGGGGCAGCTCTGCTCTGCCCTATAGGGTTGCTGTGAGTCAGAATCAACTAGACAGCAACAGGTTTGGTTTTTGGTTTTGATATCCAGAGGTAGGAAATGATTATATTTTCATAACTATGTCTTTTGCATACTTTATGGGATTCTTCAGAGAAAAAAATTAGAATAATGTGTCCTTTTTTAAAGGCCTTGTTATGCCAGTCAAAATAAGCAATCTGTCCTTTTTCAGTTCACTTTTCAAACAGACTTATTTATATTAAAGTTTCTCAGAGTAGCTACTAAAAGCCCAGGTGCAGGAAGTAGTTTTTCTTGGTAGAGAAAAGAAGTGAGGTTTTAGACAGCCCCATGAAAAACAGCAACCATGGCCTTCAACTTTGTACAAGACAGAAACTCAGATACAATGCTGTAAACTGGAGGCAAGCTTTCAATGAAACAGAAAAACTACATAAACTCACTGAGCTG